AATGAGAATCCTAAAATTCTTCTCTGGAACAACATACTTGTGGGATTGAAAACGCTATTTTATTCTTGAAATCTGCAAGAAATTTGGCTTTCCCACACAAATTCCCATACGTTCCGCCAGTTGCCTTTGAATTATCATTGTTTTTATAAATTAGTCGGTAAATTCTATATCATTTATTATCAAACAATTATGTACAATTCACCTTGGAAAATATTGACATCAAAATATCGAATTTTTAAAAATAAACAAAAAATCTATTTAAACGCCATCAACAAGAATCCAGATGTGGGCAGATTAACATTATCAATTCGTCATTCGTAATATCAAACTGATACGCCTATTATCTTATTTGAGATTAGAATAGGAAGGAGGCAATTATAGGTGTAGGTGTCATACAGTTAGAAAGTATAGAAGCGAAACAATCAGTTTGTTTATAAGTTACTATACAATATGAAATAATGTTTGACGATTATAGTGCGTTTTTGGGTAGGTTAATAGAATTAATCATCTAAAAAATAGCAGTGCCTGTGTACGTTTATAGCTAAAATTTTGTGTGAAGTGAAACCTGGTTGCGGGTACCTACCAAATGACATTTTAAAGTCTAATTTTAGCCTTAGTTCGATTTATTCACAGGTTGCAGGTAGGTGATATACCAAATCACAAATCGACCGTCAACGAAATTTTACAAAATGCATTATACGGTAGTTATCTATTTTGTTTCTCAGAATTATTTTGATGTGGGTAGATTTAATTAACTATTGGGATTGTTACAACAGATTGCATATTTGTTATGGATAAATATTTGCGCAAATACCTAGTTGATTTAAATTTTTTTTTTCAGTAAAATATGAGTCAACTAAAATCAAAGTAGTCAGTTTTTTTTTTAAAGAATCTCTTCCTTTGAACATTTTAAACGCATGACCTGTGAAATGTTATAAATACCTACCTATTTTTTGCAACTTAACAGATTCATAGAATAAAAGGTGGGTTTATACAGCACATAACATAACATAAGAAATGAGATAAGATAAGACATAACATAATATAATAAATAAGAATTTTGTGGCGTTTATACAGAAAATAACATAACATAAGAAATAATTTCTAACCAATCAGCTGGTACTTGTACTTATGTAAACTCTACCGAAAACACTATATTTGATCAAAAAATGATTAATTAATAATTTAGCAGAAACAGAAAATAAATATCGAATTCCAAAAAATTACCAATAGCTGAAAACAAAATCAAAATATTTTTTTTTTTTGGTTGGAATGTTTTGTTTACTACTCTGCCATTGCCGACATCAAGGGAGGAGCATGCGCAGATGCGTTTTCACATAAAATAAGATATAAAAGTTAAAAGTTAACCAACTTTCTTATTTCTTATGTTATGTTATGTTATGTTATTTTCTGTATAAACGCCATAAGGGGTTTCCATAAGGTCAACTTTTTATCTTATGTTATGTTATTTCTTATGTTATGTTATGTGGCTGTATAAACCCACCTTAAAAATTGTTTGTTCCTTGTCCTTGTCCCTTACTCACGAGGCCTTTTCGGAAACACTGATCCGATTAACCAGATCACCAGCTGATATCCTTTGTCTTTTTTCAATAGTATTCATTAAAGAAAGGTGAAAGACAACCAGCTGATGATCGAGTTAATCGGATCAGTATTTCCGAAAAGGCCTTTGGGTTTCACAAAAAGGAAAAAGGTAAATTTCATTGACAGGAGTAAGGAAATCACCATGTAAAGGACCTCGCACACTTTATATGGGATTTCGGCGAACGGTCGATTTTTTTCAAATTTTGATATGTTGTAGAGGATTTATTTCTTAACAACCTTTAAATGGGACGAAATCTTGTAGGTAGTATGGTCTTTGAGATATGAGCGTTAAAAGATGAAGTTTTTTGCGACTTTTTGTATGGAGAGTATACAAAATACTGGTGTTTATCAGTCAAAATATTGACAGGTTCACATATTTTACGTCACGAACAAATGTCAACATGGGCTAAGGCCGGGACCGCACTGGCGCCTGCATTGACCCTAGTGCGGTTCCGGCCTTAGCCTATGTTGACATTAATTTGTAAGTGACGTAAATTATGTGAACCTATCAATATTTTGACTGATAAACACCAGTAGCACCAGTATTTCGTATATTCTCCACACAAAAAGTCGCAAAAAAGTTATACTTTCAACGATCATATCTCAAAGACCGTTATACCTACAAGATTTCGTCCCATTTAAAGGTTGTTAAGAATTAAATCCTCTACAACATATCAAAATTTGGAAAAAATCGACCGATCGCTGAAATCCCATATAAGGTGTGCGAGGTCCTTTGGTTCTATATTTTTTCAATCTATTCCTGAAACAGAAACACTTGCAAATTATTGCAGCAAAGAAAATAAATCAGATCCTCTAATTCTAACTGTTGAAGGGAAATTGAATAAATAAATACTCTACAAGAAATCACAATAATTAATACTAAGACTTATACAATAGTTACGAAGTTGTGAAAACCAAACACCAATCTGAGATTTTTCAAGCAATTCTTTAAAAACCCGGTGTATTCAAATAAATATTGAAACCAACAAAAAAATTTTTAAAAAAAACCATGCAACAAGAAACGTTTATGCAAATGTGTGGTCTGACGACGTGGTTGGTTTCCAGGCGTCTTAAAGAAAAAGCAGAATAAGAATAAAATGAAAAGTGAAAAAAAAATCTCACAACAAAAAACGTTTCTGCAAATGTGTGGTCGGACCACGTGTGGTTTGTTTCCAGGCGTCTCAAATTCATAATTATGGGTCTTAAAATAAAATGAACCATAAAACGGCAACTTGTTTATAGCCTTATTAATATTCCGTGACTTCGTGACTTTTCAGTGTTTTGTCAAACCGGCTGTTACACGTGTTCAATCACATTTTACTCGCGGTTCATGAACCCGGAGAAAATCAGCACCCGGCCAAAAGTCATAAAACTAAATATGTAATAGTAACTATATTTTTATGGCTGATTTTACGTACTAGAACTAATTAGGAACAAAAGGGGTGCTAAAAATAAGCAGCTGAATTTTATTTACTAGAATATGGGCTTTTCCAGACAACTTTTTTTTTGTTTTCCTCTGTATATTCTGAAATAAACCTACTTAAAATCACACTGTGTGGGCCAAATTTATTTGGAACCCAATTTGGCTTTGAATATATTTTTTTTTGATAAGTCGGAGTTTTTTGAAATTTTGAAGGAATATTAGGGGGGCCTTTCGTTGATTGTAGAAAAAATATTTAATCAAAATGTACAGGGGGAGCCAAGTAAAAAGCAGTACCTATTTTCAATCAATGCCTTTGGGGCCGTTGCAAAATTACATTTTTTACTCTAAAACTGCATAAATTATTCGAAAATAATAAGAAAAATCGGAGAAAAGGCTATGAAAAAATGTTTCGAAAAACTTTAGGTTTTGTATTAAAATCGTATTTTTTTCGAAAACTTTGTTGAATAATATTACCATACATTATCATTACAATAATTGTAAGACATTGGGCGGTATAATTAAAAAGAGTATTTGCTTCTACTTCAAGTAAATGCTCCATTTTGTAGTTTTCACTTCAAAAAATTATAGCATTTACTCCACATAATTCTTAAAGTACCTAAGTACTAGGAGCACTTACTTTATAGTTCATAGTTCGCTCTATTTACTTCAACATTTAGAAGTTTATACTGCAGAAATTACTAATGCTGTCTAGTATTTGCTCCATTGGGAAGTATTCGGTGTAGTTTTTAAGAAGCTACTCAAGTGTAACTTCACATCAAGTGCTTCGATTGGAAAGGCGTTATAAATTGCTTTTTTTAATAATTATAATGGTAGGAAAAGGGCGGAAATATGTGATGGAGATATTTTTAAGGACTCTCTAAGGTTGAAACTCAACCATCGGTCAACCGGACATTGAAATACCGGCCCTAAGTGATTCTGGGCTTCAACAAGGATTTGGTGTAGATTTCGGGGTACATCAAACAAACGTGTCAAAAGTAATTAAAGAAGTTTCACAACAAATTGTGTTGAATAAAAATGTTCAAATTTCTTTTACTCTAAATGCCCGCGACGTTGAATTAGCTAAAGATGGATGTACGATACCTGGGGCAATAGGAGCGATAGAACCACATAAGAAACAAAAAGAACCTATTTGAAGTTAAACATGTCCTAGTATTTACTACTAGTTTATACTTCTAACCTAAACAAACATTTTCCATAAAAGAATTTACTTCATGTAAAAGATTCAAATTACTAGGAAGTAAAAGCTCTTACTTGAAGTACAAGCAAATACTCTTTTTAATCATACTGGCCATTATTTAGCAAGGTTTTTGAAGAAATGCGTTTTTAATACAAAACCTGAAGTTTTTCAAAAAAAATTTTCATAGCCTCTTTTCCGATATTTTCTTAATATTTTCAAATAATTTATGCAGGCAGTTTTAGAGTAAAAAATTTAATTTTGCAACGGCCTCAAAGGCAATGATTGAAAATACTGCTTCTTACTTGGCTCCCCCTGTACATTTTGATTAGATGTTTTCTCTATAATTAAGGAAAGGTCCCACTAATATTCACACAAAACTCACAAAAATCCGCTGAATCAAAAAAATTATATTCAGAGCCAAATAGGGTTCAAAATAAATTTGGCCCACAGTGTAGATTGCATTTTTTAATAAGAGCCAAGTGATTTGCATTTTACTGTCTTAGTTGTTCAAAGGCTACAATTGCACACAATTTTTTGGAAGCTCTCAATTATGCCATATTGAAAACTATCCAAACTTGAGGTTCAATATAAGTCTAAAAATACTATGTAATTGGAGGTTTGAATCGACCCCAAATCTTTCAAAATTTAATTGACTTTAATTACCAAAATTTCCCATGATGATATGAATAGGTACTTGATGTAGATTTTTTGCTAACCATGTCCATAAGACACTTTTTCAAATCAAGACTGACTATTGCCCTGTTTCCTGTATTACAGGCTACAGTTCTTGGTACGATGACTGCCCCTGCTGCCCATATGGGTACCATATCGACCTGGACTTCGTGCGGTACTGCGAGTCCATCGGTAATGAGGCCAAGAACCGCAAGAGTTCCATCAAGCGCAGAAAAGATAATAGAAGAAAGCAAAGGCAAAGCATGGAAATGTTGCTTGGATTAACACCACCAGTTTTGGCTGTTTTAGATGAAGCTTATAAAAAGGTAATAATATTTTTTTTGTACACGCGTTTTCCTAAACGTTAAATGCCTAAATAGGCCTCTCACCTGAACTTCATAAGCGAAATTAAATATTATTTTTAGACAAGCTATTCCCAAGAACCGCCAAAAATAATTCAAAACCAAGCCGCCAAAGCCACACAGGATTTTCTCTTCAACGGCGGTTTTGATGATGCTTTATCGGATTTCGAAGAGGCCCTGCAAAAATCTAATAAAACCCATTCACCTAATTATTCACAAGATGTTACAGATATCTCAGGTATGTAAAACAATTATTTATTTCTTTAATGAATTTTGTTTAAATTGAAATCAGTCAACGAAGTTGATTAAATATGTTATGTAGTTTTGCGAAGTGTCAAAGTTTCGTATTTTTAATTGACCTGTACAAAATCTTATTTTGAAATAAGTATGTCATGTAAAACTAGCCCTTTTTGGGCTCTCAATGAGGACTTTTTAGTGGGTTTTCGCAATGCAGATTCATTCCTCAGTCAAGATAATGCCCGAAAATATAGTCAGGAACCATATGAAATAAAATGAAAGAATTACTGATCTGATAATCAATTAATAACAATGCAATTACTCACCGGGGGGTTTTACCGCCCCTTGCCTCTTGGTCATTCTGGCATACCAATACTAAATATTCCTGGCTAAAAATATAATTAAAATAGTAGGATTAATCTTCACTTGTATCTTCTTTCTTCGACGACTAGCTAGTGCCCCCCTGAAATAAGTCAAGGCTTCCCCGGATACTTAATTGCCGCTAAACAATCAGTATCCCAACAAATTGGGTATTGGGGTGTTTGCTCTACACCCCTATACCTATTTGAGTCAATCAAGTCGCAAGTAAGGCCCCCAATCTTACAAGACACAACCTGAAGGAATGGCGCCCATACCAGCGTATAGAGGCTTGCTACACCAGCGTGCAATAAATGTACTCATAGTACATTTCCATGAGTTTCTACACCAGCGTGCAATAAATGTACTCATAGTACATTTCCATGAGTTTCTACACCAGCGTGCAATATATTATGATTCATAAATATCAGGTTATACACAGTATATATCAGCAATAATTATTTATATCGGCCAAAGGCTTACCAAAATCCGTGTACACACACAAACATTGAAAAACAACCTCTGTTCCTATCTGCTTGGCTCCCCGCTCACCACTCATCCCTTTCTTTTTACCCTCTCGACGATTCCTTCTTTCTAAGATTCCCCTTCTCAATATTTTACCTGAAATGAAGAGGTTCTGGGCAGCTTGGACTATTTAATTAAGAGGCGACAAATGGTTTTGTTTGATTATTAAATATAATTTATTGACAGGAATACAATAATTGGAATGTTGATTACATAATTATTTTACAGTCATCATATGTGTCACGTATTGGTCCAATTTCAATTATTCATAATATCAAATATCATATATGCCTCTATTTTGTAAAATTTCCCCATTAATGTTAGTGTGTTTGATTTAAAATCGGCAAAAAAAAGTAGTTTTGAATCTCGTCTCCTTTGAGCGTTTTCTCTTGGTAAACGCAGTTGCACTGGCTTGGGTTTTGGACCTTCGAAAAATCTGTTAGCATAGAAAATTATATTTTCCCGCAAATTGATGATTTGTGCTATTCTCCATCTGAACCGAAATAACGAATAAGGTCAATGAGCCGGTTCCCCTCCCTTCATTTTTAAAGTTAAGGCCTACATAATAATTAAAATGAAACTCCCATTATACATTTTCAGAATGGAAAGCAAAATAAGTCTTTAGACAATTTGCTAAATATACAACGAAACATTTATGCTCAATTTTTTAATCTCAGGGTACACATTACACATAGATGTGTCAGAATGCAACGCAGAATGCATTTATAGATAGTTCATGGGGTGCCTACCTACATAACAAGAAAAATTAAGGAAATAATGAATTATAATTGTTAAAATCTTTTACCTGCGTCTATTGGTAGCATAATTTTCAAAAATACACCTCATAAAACTAGGAAACCCATTGTTTGGCGAGGGGATATTTCGAGTGGACGCCTGATGAGGGTAGATCAAGCCTTCTGGGTGGGTTTTCTTGAAGAAGTTTATGAAAATTCTGCATGTGTGTACGAATAAGGCTATTGAAAGTGTTGGGTCAGTCTTTAAGGGGTTCAAGGGATTAAAATTTGATGGGTTTGATTTATCGTACCCAGTAATTGAAAAATCAACTATAGATATTGTTTTTGCTCAAAGCAGAAGCGTTTCAAAACAAACAATAATCATTGCTGGTCGAATACCTCATGTCAGGCGTTATATAGACACTTATTGTCTTGGATTTTTTATGCAAGATTACTTGTGCCCTTTTTGTCACTATTTCAATTTCTGGTCATTTCCAATTAATTTTCATGCCAAATTTCTCTTAACAATTATCTACTTGAGGAACCATCATTGAAGATAAAATTCTGGTAAATGGTAACTTTTTTTTGAATTTTCGCAAGAATATATTAAGGTTTTAGCAAATCACTAAGATTAAACTTGACCCACTGACCCACCCGTGTCAGGGTACAAAAAGGGTCTAAGGCTCGTTTGCATATTTGTGATTCTATTCAAGATGAATGGATCTCGGTATATTAGATAGGTACTAGATACCACCATTGGTGTCGTATAGCAAAGGAGAGAGGGTGTTTTATTTAAAAAAAGATGTTTTATAGACTTTTCAGACATTTTTTTGAATAGATTAATCGAGATATTAATAAAGAAAACCAACATTTTTGTATTATATTTTTACGTAAAAATGTTAAATTAATAAAAAAAATAATACCAATTGTTAATCAACTTTCGTCATCTGAATAATCAGTAGAACTATCTTCTACACCAACTGATATACCTAATAATGTGCTGTATTTCTTCTTCCAACATATGGTCTAGCTGCCACATCTTTTTTTCATATTCTTTCCCGTGCTCCACACATTTATGCCATTTTTCGGAATCTACATGTTCAATTGTTTTTTGAAAAATCCTCTCAACATCATTTATTTTATATGTGGTATTTTGAGTGGCTACTAAAAATTTGATCTGAGCCAACACTAATATGATGCAATTCACAGTGATATGGAGGTGTCTGAAGTACAATAATTTGTCGCTTTTCCGCCATATCATCAATCTTACATTACTTAGTATATTCGTGTTTTTTTGCGTTCACTTGGGCCAACAGTTCTTTTTTTACCATATCATTTAGAAGTGATATTCCTCTTTCAGAAAGCCACTTTTTAATGTCTTGTCTCTACTTATTCCTGGTAATTCTTTATCGTTCTCAACCACTGTATGAATTTTGTCTAATGTAGGGATCTCCTTTTTGAAATAAAATTAATGAACTATTCTTCTGATTGCATGTTTATACTGTTCTTCAATTACAATTTTGCTTCTTCCCGTTGATGTTTTTGGAGAAGTGAATTTTCCATTTTTTGATTCACGGACAATTCTATATACACTAACTCCCTTCATATTTGAACACCATTTCAGTGATTCTAACAACGGTGGCTTGAGGATGTTGGTGGTCAAGAGCGTTGTACACATTCAAAATAATTTCCTTTTCTGCAAGAGTAAAAGGACTACTGATTGATATTCTTCTGACAGCAGAAAATTCGGAAAAACTTGCACCAGCCATTTTTCAGTAGATGCTTAAATTCACGATCACACACTTTCTATAACTTTTACACATACCTATACTGGATAATTTTATTTATTTTTGCACTTCTTAAATTATTTGCAGGTACTAAAAATTGAAAAATTTATTAGTGCCTACCTTTAGTTTAGGTATATGTATAGGTAGGTACCTATACCAACCTATAATTAATTAACCCATATATCTACCACCTACCTTCAATAGGATACTTATACCCCAATCAATACCTGACTAATCACAATAATAGTTGTACGGCGATATGCATAATAATATAAGCGTTAGGAGTGAGTGACTGATATTATTGTCATGTTTGAGTCGAGACATGGCAGAACATACTATTTATACTCATTCTAATTATAGACGCATTTTTCATGTATAGGATTGTCCCGATATATTTTAAAATTTAATATTAACTTACATGAAAAATATATGGGACGCCTATGGCAATGCCATTATGACATTGATTTGCGATGGTCTCGTATTTCCAAATAGACTATAGAACCTTGTTATATGACTTGCTGGCTAGTAAATAAGGGTTATTTAGTCCCTATTTGTTCTTTGTTGAGTTTATTATTATTATTATATTAAAATAACCTTAAAATCCTAAACGGTTACTTTCAGCATAAAAAAATACATAAGTACACATGGAAAAATGAAATTAGACAACAAAAATCGATTATTGACTACACTATTGCAAAACAGAGCTCGAACATAAAATTCCAGGATGTGAGAGCAGATAGGGAAGCGACCTGTGGTAGCGATCACTACCTCCTGAAAACAAAAATCTTTATCCCGGGCAGAAACACCGCAAAAGAAAATGGAATGAAAAAACAAGGAGACAATATTATGCCTGAGAAATACAACCTAAAATCTCTAAAAGAGCAAAGCGTAAAGGGGTTGTACATGAAGAGATTGGATCAAAACTTACAGAGTAGTATGAACTTCCAAAACCATCATATCAAAGAGAGTATTCACAGTGCAGCATTTGAAGCCCTAGGCAAATACGAAAAAAATGGAAGAAGGCCCTCGCCTTATTAGTGGGATCAAGAAATAGAGAAAGACATAGCAGATAAAAGGAAGAAATACCAACAGTATCTAACTTCAAACACAGGTTCAAATAAGACACGAGACAAAGAAATACATAAAGAAGCACAAGAAAGGGTACGGAATAAAATAGTACAGAAAAAAACGAGTCATAGGAAAGAAACTGTGCGAATATTCATACTTATCTGGGAGGTAAAAAAAAACACAGAAAGGAAAGTTGGAGATTACTAATAAATATGAGGAAAACAAAAACCAAGGATATTATCAATACAATAACACCCCAGCAATGGGAAGAGTACTTTGAAGAATTACTGACAGAACAGCGGGCACAGTTTAAAGAAGAAAAGGAACAGATACGAAACATAAAATCTGCAGGATCACCAATAAGAGTTATGCAAGAAGAAGTTAGAAAACACTAAGCTTCTTGAAAAACGGTAGGGCACCAGGCCCCGGAGACATATATGGAGAACTGATAAAGTATGTGGTCAATAAACTCTACAAAAATTTAACAAAACTATTTTAAACATACATAGATAAAAATGAAGTACCGGAAGAGTGGAAAATAAGCTATTTAACAACAATATATAAGAAAGGAGATAGAAATAAATGCGAGAACCACCGAGGAATTGCAGTAACAAATACGCTGAGCAGAGTGTATGGAATACTCATAAAAGCCAGAATAGAGAAAGAGTACAAACATAGTGAGGCAGAAGAACAGCCTGGTTTTAGAGCAGGAAGATGAACTGTAGACCATTTATTTAGTTTGATAATGGAAAAGAAACTAGCGTATAACCAAGAACTCCATTTACTCTTTGTAGATCTAAAGAAAGCATATGACAGTGTTCCGCTGAAAAAGCTTTGGGAAGCACTGGAAAAGACCAATATCAATTTAGATAGAGGCAGTAAAAACGCTCTATAGTGATGCAAAGACCAAGATTAAACAGGGAAACATAATCAGTAAAGGCTTTATAGCAACTAAAGGACTTAAACAGGGATGCTGCATATCACCAACACTTTTTAAAATATACTTAGAACAAGCGCTTAAGGGATGGAAAAACAAATGCAGACACATGGGAATACCGCTCAATGAATACAATCTATATACTTTAAGCTTTGCAGATGATCAAGTATTAATTGCACAGGACTATGATGACCTAGAGTACATGACACGAAAATTGATAGAGGAATACGAGAAATGGGGTTTGGAAGTAAATCTAACTAAAACAGAATACATGACTATTGGAGGTGAACAACGAACTCTAACATTGAATACCGGACAAGCAATAAAACAATGTACTGAATACAAATATTTGGGCATGAAAATCTCACATGAGGGAACCCTAGAGAAGCAATTAAAGATCGGAATATACAAGGACGTAAGGCAATATCCTTACTAAATGGTGTACTGTGGGACCAAAATATCAACAAAACTAACAAAACTAGAATATACAACACCGTAGTCAAACGCATAGTCACATATAGTTCAGAAGTCTGGCCAATAAAGAACAGAACCGCAAAAATTCTGGAAGCAACTGAAATGGACTTTTGGAGGAGATCGGCAGGCAGGTCAAAAATGGAAAGGATAACAAATCCGAGAATTAGGGAGATTATGGACGTAAAACACACAATAGCAGATGATATAAAGGACAAACAGCTGATTTGGTTCGGACATGTACATACAAAGAATGGCAGATACAAGAATACCCAAGCAAATTATTGAGTGGAAGCCAGGGGGAAGAAGAAGACGCGGCAGACCAAGAAGAAGCTGGAGAAGTGGAGTGGACGAAGAAATGAGAGACAGAGGCTTGGAGGAGGATGCCTGGATTGATAGAGATGGTTGGAGATCGGGAATCGGAAGGCGTAGAACGTTATAAACCGATAATTATTTATATATGAGTTTATTTGATAAATATTATTCTGAAATCTAGAATTGTGTATGTACATCATTATTCATTGCAAAGCTTAGGTATATTAGATTTCTGTGTTTTGTTTAATATTTTAAAGATCAATTTAATTTGTTCAAACTCCAATACTACACCAATTCTAGAAATATTTAATTACCTATTATACAATTTGTCTGAGTTAGTTACTGCATCATAAATTGAATAATATTTTTGAAATTTTGTTCTGAAGTATTTGAACTGAGTGAAAACTAGTTTAACAACACGTTTCCCAGACTGGCATTATGTAATGTTAGGAAAGGAAAAAGGCATTATACTTAAATACTGAATTTAGTTTTATTGATGACTCGGCGTGTAGTGCCAAACAGGCCCTTATTTTGTGTTAGTTCGGATTTTGAAGTTTTTCAAATATATCAAAATGAAAATCTATCCAAAAAGTATTATTACCCAGTATAATAAAGTTAAATTTCAATAATAACGAAACGCCTATAGCCTGCAGGTATATGACTAATTGCAATTTCGTCCCCTCTCGGGCGAACAATTGGTACCCAGGCCCCGAGACCACCAATAGCCTCTAACAAAAATGTAACTTAATAAATTTAAATTTCGGCAACACTCTGTAAGATCCCCACAATAAAAGCAGCAACAAAGAACAATCGTCGAGCCATGAACTTTCAAACCTATGTTGCTCACTAGAGCTAAACCGTTTTTGAACGTGCGCAAGCCCGGTTGCTGCTTATTTAACTTATTCCACTTTCAATTTGTAATAGTTTTGTGTCTTTATTCTTCAGGACCATTTTTCGCGAAATTTATTTTAAAAAAATTCGGTTTTCATGGAGCAAAATCAAATTCAAATTGCGCGGGTGTTTCTTAGTTTCGCTTGGTTTTTTTATGCAGTCCTGAGGAAAATCGTTTTGTTCATTGATAGCATTATCTACTTCGATACATCGCAAAACTATTTACTCTCAGATAATACAACAGTCGAATTTCACCGTTCTGTGTGCTATCAAGATTTTTTACTATGTTTAGAAAATTTACGGAGGGTTCCATCGGTTTCGCCCGTATCATCCCCATCTGGATTTGTCAAGGTGCTTCCAAATAATCGGAATGGACCATTAAAACCGGACTTTGACGCTGTCGGCATTGAATGTTGCCCTAATCCTATGGCATTGCAGAACATCAGGGAATCTTTAGCTTTGAGCCTTGAAAGGACCAAAGTGTTGGAACAACAAGTTAAACTTATACCAAGCTTACAGGTAAGAACTTTTGTTTCAAAAGTAATAAATAAGAAAAATTGACAAGGGTTGCGCTCTTTGACACTAAATAAACTGATGAGGCAGACAAGAAACTCGTTTCTTTCGCCCCAATATGATGCATAGGTATATAATCCCTTAGTATAGATAGGTACTAAGTCATAAAAACACTGTTGTCATGTTAGTCAAGTTTATCACTAGGAGTTTTGGAAAATGATAACATACGAGGTCCCAATTAATTTTTTTCGAGGGTATTGCCATTACGTTGAAAGGGGAAGTGTTATATCTTTTGAAAGTGATATTAATGTACTGGGGCAACCCAGGGTCGTACTTATGGGTCTGGGTTGGCTTTATTTTTGGTTACGGAATCCTCTAAAAAGTATCCGAATCATTGTTTGTGTTTTTTTTTCCAAATTGGTTTTCAAGCATTGAATTAATGAATTACCCATATTTTCTAATGTTTTTTTTGGAAAGATATATCTGTGCCTCAAATAGTCAACTTTGCCAGGGACTATATGTTTCAATTTTGGATTTGAAGTTGCAAGACCAAGAAAATTAGTGAATAAAGGGAATAGCTTATCAAAAACAGTGCACAAAATGCAACGCAATTCAAGGCAATTCATTCAATCAATCTAAAAAATATACCTATTAATTTTTAATGTTTAGTTTAATTTACTAATAGTTTATTTATTCAATTTATTGCTAATAGTGTGATTATTCTTATCTTCTTAGATGAAACCCATGTAAAACAAAGCAGATAGTAGTTTGATGTATTTATACATTTGGGATATTATTGTTAATTATTTTGAGAGATTTTGAGCCTTATGCCCTTATCACTTAGATAAAGAGTCTTGCAGCATTTCATGCTTCCCCCTAACTTGACTTTAAACTCTTTAAAGGGGGTGTAACCCCAAAATGGAAGTTTTAGTGCAAAAAAATCTAAGAACAAATATTTAAACCTTATCTTGCTACGATGAACAGTTTTCGAGTTAGAGCGGTTTGAAGTTATATACAAACGCCTAGGCTGTGACGTCACACCGGCTTCAGAGCCACAGTATTAACACGTGTGAATTTTCCAAAACAATAGTCAATGATCTCACAAGAGCGAATTCCGACCACTCAAAGTACAGGGCACGGTTCACCACTAACGACAACTGAACGAACAGAAGGCTGCGCTTTCGGGGGTTAGCTGGTGTGACGTCACAAGTTCCCGCATAATTTATCTTCAGACGGGATTTTCTCGGATACTATTTTGAATACGGGACTGGGTTTTTCACGAGAGATCTTAGATTTTTTTCAAATTTAAGTAGCTTAAGTTGTATTTTTGGGTCACACCCCGTTTAAATATTTTGTCGATCTTTAATATGATTTGCCTTTTTCTGACTTGCCTTTAGATGTTGCTTCTTCAATTCGACCTCTGCTGTCTTTTTTTTCTGGTTTTTTCTTATTGGCGGACTTAGTACGTTTAATATCTTCTCACACGAGCTGCACTTGTAATTCCAATGCCTTTGCATTTGGGCTATTTCTGTTCCAGTATCTCAACATCTTTGGTTAGATTCACAAGTTCATTCTCTTTGAAAAGTTCAAATATATTTTTTTCAATTACCTAATGTTTGGCTGCTTCGGCGACAGCATGTTTTTTGGCTTCAAAAGATCCATTGCTTGCTCACCTACTTTTAGATCTTTGTAATATTTTTCAAGAGACAGGAGGATGGTATGAAATTTTTTTCAGTGCATGTTTAGTTTTTTCGAGCTTCTGGATTCCAAATCATTGATCCTCTTGATTATTCTGTAGCGGCCTTCCCATGCTGAAAACAATTTCAGCGACACCCCTTTTTTTCTTGTTGGATTATACAGCCACATTAGATCACCTTCTTGAAATTGGGCTGAATTGGCTTTCAAGTTTCAAGTCGTCTCTGGTCTTCATTCGGTCACTGGCCAGCTGAATATGCTCCCGAGCTAAATCGTGTAGTGTATTTCCAGAAGTCGTGCCCTCGTCGGCATAATCTCGAATTTCTTTTCGTTCTTCTTCAGGTATTCCAAACATCAGATCGCAAGGTAACCTGAGTTGCCTTTCAAAAACGATTCTAGCCAGACTTCCACCTGTTGACTCGTGAACAGCTGCTCTGTAAGCCATAAAAAATAGAGGCAAATGTTTGTCCCAATCTCGCTGGTTCTTTGGGACCACTTTTGTCAGGTGTTCCTCTATGGTCTTATTGAATCGTTCTACCATATGCCATCATACTGTGGATGTAAAGGTGTTGTTCTTGTCTTACGAATTCCCACACGATCTCACAAATTTTCTTAAAGATGGCAGATTCGAAGTTTCGTCCCTGATCTGAATGCGACTCTAGTGGCACACCATGAAGACTGAAAACTTCGTCCACTCTGGGCAATAGTGATGGCTTCTTGATTGGGAATAGCGAAAACTTCTGGCCATTTACTGAAGTAATCCAGTAATCTATGATAACCAAGATGTATTTGTTACCACGCTCTGACTCAGGGAACGATCCGGCTATATCTTTCGCTATTCTTCCAAATGGGAGACCGACGTTGTACTGTTTCATGGGCCCCCGAGATCTTGGTTTAAGGCCTTTACTGGTAGCACAGATGTCGCATTTGCAGCACCAGTTTTCAACGTCTTCATGATAGTGAACAGTGAACCCTGTAAAAATGTTCCCGTATTTTGTCCAAAGTCTTGTTAACTCCAAAATGTGCCCTTGAAGTTCCGTCATGTATTTCTTTCAATACATCTTCTACTCGATCTTTTGGAATAACCAGTTGGCTCTTAGTAGATTTTTCATCGGTACTTTCCCAAATTCTTTTCAGTAAACCATTTTCTACGGCCAGAAAGTTCCACTGAGCCCACAACGCCTTGTAAATCAAACTCTTGTTCGACACTTTCCTCCATTCTGGCCTACTTTCATCATTTTCTTTAAGATGTAGAAATTGCCCGATGTCCTGGTCTGCTTCTTGATCTGCTCCTGCTCTCATTTGTTTGGTAGTCCATTTGTCATCAACGATCAGACCTGTTCTTCTCACAGCCGGACTAGTGTTTTTTTCATGCATATCGATTCTTTGACGAAACTTCCAGTCTTCTTTGCATAGTCGTCTAAACAGAGGGCTGGCGTCTCTAGATCTCCAAAAGCGTCGAGTCTACAATCCCATTGCATATGTCCAAGCTTATGGCACCGGTAACATTTTACTGGATTTCTCGGTGTTGGTGTTTGTTTGGAGTCGTTTCCCAGTTGTTCTAGTAATAGTAATAGTTTCTTCATTTTCTCGATGAACTTATTCATAACATTCTCGAAGCTACCTTCCTCTTTTGACGATTGCTTATCGTTTGGGTCTTCAATGAATAGTGCTCGTATTCTGGGTCGTGAGGCACCAAAGATTGCTTCCAGTTCTAGTGCTCGGACAAGGGCTTCGCTACTTTGTCTGAACTTAGACATTTTCAGGTTTTCCTGGATCTTGGAATCTCTGGAGACCATCAATAAACGCAGATATTGCCATCAATTCCTGGATGTCTTCCCCAGCTGCAGGAAACGCCAAACACACTAGCCTTTTAACTTTCGATTCGAATTCTTGTAAACTCTCGCCGGGTTTTTGAATTTTTGACTTGACCTGAGTTCTAAATACTTCTCTGTAATGGTCTCCAAAACGCAATTCTAATGTCTGAGTTAGATGCTGGTAATTCTGTTGGTAGATTGAAGGAATGGCCTGAAGAAGATCTAAAGCAGGTCCTCCTAGCGCCACAATCAGTGCTGTTGCTTTTTCTTGATCGTTCCATCCGTTGGCATTTGCACCAGCTTCAAATTGTCGGATATACATGATCCAGGACGTATAGCCGTCAAAATTTGGGTGTTTCATCTTTATACTAGAGAATGCCCCAACACTAACTGGGTTGATGGACTGTATTTCTTATTTATTCACCTTATCTTCAAGTGCTTGAACTTGGTCCTCAACTTCTTGTCTTAATTGCTGAACATCGGCTTTGACCTCAGCTTTCACTTCCTGAGTCTGAGAGTCGTTTTTAAATTCTCGAACATCGTCTTTACCTTCGGCTTTTACTTCCGTAATCTTCTGTTCTAGGTTAGCGACAAATTCGTGTATGGTTTGAAATATTTTCTGTAGTTGTCCAAGGTCTTCTTGCCGTTCTTTTTGTCACCTGGCCTCTTCGTCTTGTTTTTCCCGTTTAGCTTCTTTTTCTTATTTTTCTTTTTGTCGCCCGGCCTCTTCGTCTTGTTTCTCTTGTTGTCGTTTAGCTTCTTCTTCTTGTTTTTTTTTTGTCGTCTGGCCTCTTCGTCTTGATTTTCTTGTTGTTTAGCTTCTTCGTCTTGTTTTTGTTGTTGTCGTTTGGCCTCTTGAAGTTCCAACATTTTGCGCAGGAGTTCTTCAACTTTTTGTTCTTTTATTTTTGCTTGTTGTCTCGTAATAGGCGTATGCAGAATGTTCTGGAATTTCCCTCAAACTCTCTTCAATTATCTTTCCTGTTCTTGCTTTATTCTCGAATAGAATGTTCTAGAGTTTTCTTGAAATGTCTTTTCTGAATGTCGATTGATATATCAAACACGTCGGTGAAGTCACAAATTCAATATCTCCCTTGGTTTCCAAATAGAATGTTCTAGAATTTTCCAGAAATTCCTCGAAATTCTTTTTTTGAATGACGATTGATGTATCAAATACGTCGGTGAAGTCAGAAATTCGATATCTCCCTTGGTTTCCAAATAGAATTTTCTAGAATTTACTTGAAAATTCACTGTCAAAGTCAAAGTCGGGTATGCAGTCACTTCCGGGGTATTTTACACAATCGGTTAAGTCCCTTTTGGTGATTGTCACTGCTTACGCTGACTAACTGTCTCAGTGTTCACGATAGTGTCCACCATAGTGTCCACACTACTGTCCGCGTTGGGTTCGTTTATTCCAAAATCAAAGTCCAATTAACACAAGAATAATTTATTCTACGTTACTACATACTCTGACACTAATTACTTCACTAGTTA